GTCAAGCTGGTACCGGCGCTGTCATCCTCGGGAAGGGGCACGAGCTGCAATGATATCGACGGTGTGAATAGTAGAGTGACAGGGCCGTGAATCCTGCGGTTTCCCTTGCGTCGCTTGTATTTGTAGATCCTGGAATTCGGTCGGTGCTGGCGTGGGTGGGGCTTGGTTGGGTCACGAGGTTTGTCGTCGTGATTTGTCAAGCTGATACCGGCGCTGTCATCCTCGGGAAGGGGCACGAGCTGCAACGATATCGACGGTGTGAATAGTAGAGTGACAGGGCCGTGAATCCCGCGGTTTCCCTTGCGTCGCTTGTATTTGTAGATCCTGGAATTCGGTCGGTGCTGGCGTGGGTGGGGCTTGGTTGGGTCACGAGGTTTGTCGTCGTGATTTGTCAAGCTGGTACCGGCGCTGTCATCCTCGGGAAGGGGCACGAGCTGCAACGATATCGACGGTGTGAATAGTAGAGTGACAGGGCCGTGAATCCCGCGGTTTCCCTTGCGTCGCTTGTATTTGTAGATCCTGGAATTCGGTCGGTGCTGGCGTGGGTGGGGCTTGGTTTGGTCACGAGGTTTTTCGTCGTGATTTGTCAAGCTGGTACCGGCGCTGTCGTCCTCGGGAAGGGGCACGAGCTGCAACGATATCGACGGTGTGAATAGTAGAGTGACAGGGCCGTGAATCCCGCGGTTTCCCTTGCGTCGCTTGTATTTGTAGATCCTGGAATTCGGTCGGTGCTGGCGTGGGTGGGGCTTGGTTGGGTCACGAGGTTTGTCGTCGTGATTTGTCAAGCTGGTACCGGCGCTGTCATCCTCGGGAAGGGGCACGAGCTGCAGCGATATCGACGGTGTGAATAGTAGAGTGACAGGGCCGTGAATCCCGCGCTTTCCCTTGCGTCGCTTGTATTTGTAGATCCTGGAATTCGGTCGGTGCTGGCGTGGGTGGGGCTTGGTTGGGTCACGAGGTTTGTCGTCGTGATTTGTCAAGCTGGTACCGGCGCTGTCATCCTCGGGAAGGGGCACGAGCTGCAACGATATCGACGGTGTGAATAGTAGAGTGACAGGGCCGTGAATCCCGCGGTTTCCCTTGCGTTGCTTGTATTTGTAGATCCTGGAATTCGGTCGGTGCTGGCGTGGGTGGGGCTTGGTTGGGTCACGAGGTTTGTCGTCGTGATTTGTCAAGCTGGTACCGGCGCTGTCATTCTCGGGAAGGGGCACGAGCTGCAACGATATCGACGGTGTGAATAGTAGAGTGACAGGGCCGTGAATCCCGCGGTTTCCCTTGCGTCGCTTGTATTTGTAGATCCTGGAATTCGGTCGGTGCTGGCATGGGAGGGGCTTGGTTGGGTCACGAGGTTTGTCGTCGTGATTTGTCAAGCTGGTACCGGCGCTGTCATCCTCGGGAAGGGGCACGAGCTGCAACGATATCGACGGTGTGAATAGTAGAGTGACAGGGCCGTGAATTCATGAACTTACCGTATTTACTCGAATGTAACGCGAGTTTTTTTTTTTTCAAATTTCCCTTACCTAATTTGGGGGTGCGCGTTATAATTGAAACGTGTCAAAATTTGCCTTGGCGGTGTCGCAGCACAGGCTCTTTAAGATGGCGACGACAAATCTCGCAATCTTTCAATCTTGTGCTGGTAACATATACACACTGGAAACAGCCAATCCAATCCTATTCTTGTTTGCGACTCGTTGCGCCCATGTTAGGGTTACGCGTTACCTTCACAACGCTTTCTCTTTCTGTTAGGGTTACTGTACCCATGTGCCCGTGTTGTCCGTGTTTTGTGAGCTGCTGCTACGTGATTCCGCAACTGGACTCTCGAGCAAATGGCGACGCGACGAGCTCAGTACGACGCCCGTTTAAAAAAAGTGCAATTATGATGGCTGAGGAAATCAAAAACTGCCGCGGCTCGACGGGTAAATGTGACAGAATCGACTATCCGTGGGTGGAGACTCTAGCGTGAAGTGCTCTTCAAGTGTGAACCCGGCCGAAAAGGCTTCCGCGGACCACATTGTAGTACTTTTTAAGGTACTTTGTTTCCCTTACTTAACTCGCGTTACATTCGTGTTCTTTTTTTTTTTGGGGGGGCTGTGAAAAGTCACCCCTCGCATTACAATCGTGGTCGCGTTACATTCGAGTAAATACGGTATCTGCAATGTGTGGACACGCCCAGGCGAAATGCTTATCAGAGTTACAGCGATAACACTCGAACGAACAACTGTTTCCTTTTCACGGAATCTTCGGTGCTCATCTTGTGCAAGTCATCGCTCCTTTCTTTTGCGTGCACTTTCTGAACATTCTTTTAAGCTTCTTCTAACGCGAGACAGCTTTTTGAAATGTTAACGTTTTGTCCTCTGCAAACAAGTACCGCGCTATGTCTGCACGGAATAAACCGCACACGAACCGATCTCTCAGCGGCTCGTCTAGAAAACTGCCGAACTTGCAGATTTGAGAAAGCTTCCTGAGCTCCGCTACATATTGTGTGATACTTTTATGTTCCAACTGACTACGGCGATGGAATTTAGCTTGCTCTCCAATCACGGATACTATCGGTGACAGCTGGTTTTGCAGCAATTGGGTTAGTTAGCGTCCTTTCTGACGGTATGGCAGGTGCCGTCAACGACTTCAAGAGACTGTACGTTCTAGGCCCAATAACACTTAAAAAAGCATGTACCTTGAGGTTGTCAGCTATTTTGTTGATTAGAAAAAAAGGACGTCAACCTTTCTTCATAAGACAGCCAGCCACTCACGGTTTCATCGAATGCTTCCACTTGGCCGATATGACTGGAGGATGCCATCTTGAGAAGCTTGCTGTTGCCGAGTATCCAGCGGCGTGCGGCGATGCTTCGCTGTCTGCTGGGTCGCAGCTTCAAATTCTTACCTTCGTCTTGCCTTTGTTGCCCCCATCTTCGTTGGCCAGTTGTTATGTCTGCAAGGCAAGGAGTGGCAGGACAAGGAAGGTCTGCGAACAGCTTTATTCCGCAGAAGCCGGCAACGATCTGGCTGCGCGTATGACAGTGCTCTATATAGAGCGCCCGGTGACGTCATTACTACGTGTGCTGCTGATAGCAATGGTGGTGGCCTGTAGCAGCCAGCAACACGGGCCGCCCACGTTCACACGCTGCAACCAATTCCTGCAAGTTACCATCATCATCATGAAATTTTATTTGAGAGCGCAGCTCTTAGGTGCTCGTTTCCGGCTTGAGCGGCGTCGGCGTAACCGCGCGGTGCATGATGGGTAAATTTCCCTGCTAAATTTAGCGGAAAATTTTTCTTGCACTATTTAGACATCATTACGCACTATCAATGTGTTTTTATGCATTTAAATTTTGTTGAGAATACTAATGCATCTTTCTGAAACAGTTGATTTTCAAAAACGATCAATTTCAAACCAGAACTAAGTCTTTTGTTGTCATCATCACCGGCACGAGGTATCACGTGAAAATATCGCGTCCCTGATTGGATCCAGCCGCTTCAAACGCCTTCGAATTGGCTCGCTTGTTTTGAGCCGGTCCCGATCGCAGCAATTCGTGGTGATCTCGGAAAAGCTAGGGAACAACCCACCAACAACTCCAAAATTGCTGAGAAAGTTGCTCCGTCTGAAGGGTGCCTCACGCACTTACTGCCCTCACGCCCCTCATGCACTCATGGCCCTCACACCCCTCACGCACTCATGTCACTCACCCCGTCACGCCCCTCATACCTCTCATGCACTCATGGCCCTCACACCCCTCACGGCCCTCATACCCCTCACGCACTCATGCCACTCACCCCCTCACTCCCCTCATGCCTCATGCACTCATGGCCCTGACACCCCTCACGGCCCTCATACCCCTCACGCACTCATGCCACTCACCCCCTCACGCCCCTCATGCACTCATGGCCCTCACACCCCTCACTGCCCTCACACCCCTCACGCACTCATGCCACTCACCCCCTCACGCCCGTCGTGCCTCATGCACTCATGGCCCTCACACCCCTCACCGCCCTCATACCCCTCACGCACTCATGGCCCTCACGCCACTCACCGCCCTCACGCCCCTCACTCACCCATGGCCTTCACACTCCTCATGCCTCTCACACCCCTCACGCACTCACCGCCCTCACGGCTGTCATGCACACTCACGGTCCTCACAGCACTCACTCACCCTCACACTCATAAATTTTCCTGGTTCAGAAACTCACTCACCCTCACCTCTCCTGTGAAGATGAGGGTGAGTGAGGGCCCTCATGAGTGAGGTTTGCTGAGGTATGATTATGGTAGTGTATTCTTTTTGCTATCGCACCGAGTAAAAATACCTGAACACGGGGGCACATCTTTGAACAAAAAATGTGACCATGAAAGGGTTAGAGCGGACTTTTAAAAGCAGCCATTATTTCGGTCATTACACAGCTTTGGTTCAGTAGTGGTGGCATCCATTCTGCAAACCGCTGTCATTGCGCTTGGCGCCTTGCGAGTCTCGGACAGATATAATGTGAAGATGTGGCGCTTGACTGGCTGCTGTTGCACCAAGTTGTGGAATCGAGACATTTGCTTTGATCCTGATCGAAGCTGGCAATTTGTATCTCTGACACAAACACCCGGGGAACTCGTTAGCAATTTTGGAATGTCAAAGAAGATTGCTCTGTCTGATGCAGGGGTTAGTGGTTCATTACCAGGGGTGCCAATGTGACAGACCCTTAGAGAAGATATGTAATGGAATGAATGAGGAAATTTGGGAGCTTGGGGCACCCTTCAAGGTACTTTGGGCAATCCTGCAAGGTGTCCTGGGGGACCCTTGAAAGTGCTCTTGAGTACCTTTAAGAGTGCTCTAAAGAACCCTTGAATGTGCTCTGGGTTACCCTGATTGAGAGCCCATGCATTAGCACATCATTGTCAATGAGGCCATTTTCTTGATAATTATGGCAAAGCAGTTCTCTGCTCTGAATTAAGCATTAAAAGCACCATAATGTCTAGCGTGTTAATTTGTATTCAAGCATCTTGCCATCTCTTTTTACAGGATTGGCCGGCTCCAGCGAAGACAATGCAATGGCAACTGTCACTTTCAAGACTGGTCTGTTACTGCATAAGCAATTTTTCCATTATGTGTAGGGTTTCGTGTATCCGCTATTGACCCCGTCAAATCCCGAAAAATACTTACCCGCAAGCCGGTTTTATCCAAATCGGGGAAAACTGAAAAGTCCGAAATTGGAATTCTGTTCTTGAATAAGAAAAGCCCAAGCTTCACAGAAAGAGACCTCTATGTGCAGCTTTGTTGCGTGTGACCCAGATATCAGCCTCCGCTGAACTAAACATGATGGATCATTGGGCCATTCGGAATGAATGGCCCAATTGAAACAGCGTGACTGGGCATGGACAAAAGGAGAGACTGGACAGAAATGCTGCATTCGTGTTCTCTGGTCTGTATCTTCTTCTGGGTCTAGTCGTGCTGTTTCTGGACTTAGATGTCCATTGAACTGGCTGGGAAGAATGTTTTGTATTTACTAATTAATTGTACGTTTGAAGGTCCAGCAGGGGATGACATGAGGGGTATTGGAGAGGAGATCGAACGATAGGGGGCTCAGTTTTATTATCATCATCACCTCCACAAAAAATTGCTGTGTGGCAAACTCCGACGCCAACATTCGCCAAGCTTATACCGTATCGTTTTTGCGCTCAGTGCATATTTGTTTGTAGCTATGGGGTGCGCACTTGCTGTGTACTGCAGTGCTCGAAGCATGCTTTTGAATCTGGTATATGTAGTGCAAAGGACTGCTGCACGAATGCAACGATGCGGATATTGTCCGCCGTCAACTCTGGTGCAACAGTGCATTCAATGACACGATAGCAGTTGAGCACGCCCTCTTCTTCAACGAGACACAGCTTGCTTTCGTGGATATCGTCCATGATTGTCACAAGAGACAGAGTAACTGAAAATTGACGTGCGTGTGCAGGTACTTCCAAAAGAGGGGGGGGTCAATGTATAAAATGTTCAAGAACCCCCTCTCTCCCCCCTCACCCTTGATATTTACACATGCACAGTCCAAGAGGGGTATCAGTGTAGTTGACAAGCGATAAGCATAGGAATGTCTGCCATGCCAAGACGCGTGACAGTGATGCAACGCCACGTGACGCACACCGTGGCGCGTATTGGTCACGAATCACGAGCCCTGCCCAAAAGGCGAGACTGGCTGGGATCACGGCGGCAGCGGGATGGATTTCTAGCAGCTCCTTTTTTATTTGTTAATTGTGGTGATAAAGATTTGTTTGCTTTTGAAACCTGCAAACGTCTTTCTGTCGCCTCGAATTGGTGACCCGGAGAACGCTTTACCTCCAAAGACCTTCATCTTCTGTGCCAAGGGTATCCAAGCCACCCTCACTCGCCATGTCTATTCCTGAGCAGCCCGCTGCGGGTCAACTGTCAGCACTTCACCTTCGCCTGTCTCCATTCTGGACAATGGACCCACAAATCTGGTTTGCCCAGGTGGAGGGCCAGTTCACCACTTCGCGGATCACTTCACAAGTCCAGAGGTTCCACCACATCATCGCAGCGCTTCTGCCAGATATTGCAGCGGAAATCAGGGACCTGGACCTTACACCGCCTGCGAACGCTCCTTACGACACCCTCAAGGCGGAGCTCATACGGAGGACCACGTCGTGGGAACAGCGTCGACTCCAACAGCTCCTCACGTCAGGGTAGTTGGGCGACCGCAAGCCTTCACAGCTGCTGCGGCACCTACAACAACTTTTGGGTGGGAAGGCGCCTGACTTCGACGCCACGTTGCTTCGGGAGCTTTTCCTTAGAGGCTCCCGACTAACGTCCGCATGGTCCTGACGTGTGCGTCTAGACTTGACCTCGAAGAACTGGCACAGCCCGCAGACTTTGTCATAGATGTCGCTGTGCCCACCATTGCACAAGTCGAAGGTCAGACCGGACCACTACCGTCCACGACATCACCTGCTGGTGTGACGACTGCCACAGCCGACGTCAGCGGCCTTAGAGAGGAATTTCATTGTGAGATGGGACGCCTGTCTGCTCAGATCACTGCCTTCACCACCCACATTCCAACTCACCAATGTCACAGATTGCCATCTCAACAACGTCGGCATCGTTCTCCTTCGCCCTCCCAAGGTACGTGCTGGTACCATCGCATTTTCGGCGCGCAAGCCAAGAAGTGCGTTTCTTCATGCACAGCCTCGGAAAATGCCCAGACCCACCACTAGAGGCAGCGAGTGGTGCGGCCTTCGAAGCCAGTGGTTTTTCTTTTTATACCAGACAAGAATTCTGGTCTTCTCTTCCTAGTTGACACCGGCGCCGAAGTTAGCATCCTACCGGTGACGTCCATCTCAAGCATGCCAGAGCGCTCCAACGTCACTTTGCAAGCGGCGTACAAGTCTGCCATTGCCACCTACAGCAAACGAGCACTCGCACTAAACATCGGCTTGCGAAGACGTCTGAGATGGGTGTTCCTAGTGGCTGACATGACGCATCCAATCCTAGCGGCAGATTTCCTTCATCTCTTCAAACTCCTAGTGGACATGCAGCGACTGCACCTTGTGGGTTCAACGACCAACTTCAAAGTCCAAGGCATAGAATCCACATCATCACTCTCGCAACGTTGCACTCCACTTGCCACAAAGTTTGAAGATCTGCTTCGGAGGTTCCCTACACTCGCACGTCCTGCCAACTTTCGGCAGCCGGTGGAACATGACATCACTCATCACATCGTGACGACCGGACCTTTCACTTATGCTCGACCTCGAAGACTCCTGGAAGACCAGTTAAAGATAGCGAAGGCTGAGTTCGAGCATATGCTTGAGCTCGGCATTATCAGGCCTTGGTCAGGTCTATGGGCATCCCCCCTCCACATGGTGCAGAAAAAATCCCTAGGGGATTGGCGGCCATGCAGCAACTAACGCGTGCTGAACAACTCCACCGTTTTAGACCGCTATCCGCTACCACACATCACGGATTGCACCGCGTCGTTGGAAGGGATAACTATATTTTTGAAAATCGATCTAGTCAAAGCTTACCACCAGATCCCTGTGGAGCCATCCAGCATACCAAAGACAGCTATCATCACTCCGTTTGGCTTCTTCGAGTATGTCAGGATGCCATTCGGCCTACGTAACGCGGCGCAGACATTTTAGCGAGTCATCGACAGCGTCACCCATGGGCTGACATTTTGTTTCACATATGTCGACGATATCCTGGTGTCCAGCGCTGATGCCGAGCAACATCTTGAACACCTAGAGATCATGTTCCAGCGCCTAGCTCAATATGGACTCATTATCAACAAGGCCAGATGTGAGTTTGGCGTTTCCAAACTGGATTTTCTAGGCCACCACGTCGACTCCAAAGGCATCTGCCCACTTCCATCATAAGTCGACACGGTCACAAAGTTCGCCACACCAACGTCGCGCAGGAAGCTTCGAGAGTTCCTCGTACTTGTGAATTTTTACCGGTGTTTCTACCACATTGTGCAACTGTTCTGCAGCCCCTGACATATCTCCTGGAGGAAAATCTGCATGACTCTTCACCTCTACCATGGTCTCCAGAAGCAGCGGAGGCGTTCGGGGCGATTAAGGCATCGCTTGCAGAAGCTGCACTATTAGCGCATTCGCTAACTGGTGCGCCTCTCTGTGTGATGACAGACGCCTCAGATGTCGCTGTCGGCGATGTGCTCGAGCAGCTTGTTGGTGGACACTGGCAACCTCTAGGATTCTTTTCCAAGAAACTTTCGCCAGCGAGTCCCGCTACAGTACCTTCAGTCGAAAACTCCTAGGTATCTACTTCACCATCAAGCATTTTCGGCACTACCTAGAGGGTCGGGAATTTCACATCCTTGCCCACCACAAGCCGATCACTTTCGCAATTCAAGCAACACACAGCCGCCTTTCCTCTAAAGAATGTCGGCATCTTTTGTTTGTCGCAGAATTGACATCCGCCACATCAAGGCCACCGACAACTCACCTGCTGATGCGTTGTCTCGGGTCACTTGTTGCAAAGCCATCCCCAACGCTTTAGATTTCGCTGCTCGAGCAGCAGCTCAGCAGGGCGACCAGCAGATCCTGAGACTACTATCCGCGTCCAGCAACCTTGATTTACGCGAAGTGTTACTCCCAGGCTGCGATACAACGGTCATCTGCGACATGTTCGCAGGTACACCTCGGCCAGTGATACCGCCCATTTTTCGGCGACCCATTTTCAATTCGCTGCACAGCCTTTCCCATCCTGGCATCTGAGCGACCCAACATCTCATCGCTCAGCGCTTTGTTTGGCAGGGAATGAAGAAAGATGTGCGCGTGTGGGCATGTACTTGTCTTCTTTGTCAGCGTTCCAAGGTTCAATGACATACCTTTGCACCTTTCGCTACAATGCAGACAGCCACCGCTCGTTTCGACAACATTCACCTGGACATTGTAGGTCCTTTGCCACCATTGCAAGGAGCCAGATACATGCTCACGTGCATATACAGATTCACGCGTTGGCCAGAGGTCTTTTCCATCGCAGATATCTCTGCAACAACAATTGTGAAGACCCTAGTCAACGGCTGGATATCGCGTTTCGGCGTTCCGTCATCTCTATCTGCCGATTGAGGCCCACAGTTCGAATCGAGACTGTTTCAGGAGCTCATGGTACTCGTGGGAACATCTCGCATTTGTACCACAGCGTACCATCCCGCTGCTAACGGCCTGGTGGAAAGGTTCCATCGAACATTAAAGGCCGCGCTAAAAGCATGCAACGACCCCAGCAACTGGGCCAGACTGCTTCCTATTGTCCTACTAGGCCTGCACACCACCCTTAAGGGAGGAGGTGGGGAATAAATATGAACTTTCTTATTTCTAGAGATATCTGAACGAAATTTACAGGGTGTGTTTATAGCACAGACATTAGAGTAACTGCAAAGTTTCATGGAGCTATGCATATTATTTCTCAAGTTACCAATATTTATCATAATCGTCCATATGCATTCCTTATCCCAGGTCTGGAGAATTTGTAAAAGGTAGTAGCGGCGTAAAATTTGTTATGATGACTCCTGGATAGGTTCCCCAGGGCATAACAGAGCCCTTTTAGAGCGCAGCTGTTAGGGGCCCGTTTCCAGACTGAGCGGCGTCGGCGTAACCAAGGGGGGGGGGGGGGGGTCATGTGACCCCCCCCCCCCCTTGAGGTCACGTGATCCCCCCGAGGCCACGTGATCCTCCCGAGGTCACGTGACCCACCCAGGTCACGTGACACCCCTAGGTCACGTGACCCCCTGAGGTCACGCGACCCCGTTGAGATCACGTGACCCCCCTAAGGTCACATGACCCCGTTGAGGTCACGTGACTTCTGGGGGTCACATGACACCCCGAGGTCACGTGACCCCCCGAGGTCACGTGACCCCCCGAGGCCACGTGACCTCAAGGAGTCACCTATCCCTCAGTACGCTTCCATCTTCCTCTTCAAGAGCTGCGCTCTAACCGGCGTTACAGGGAATTGTAAACGGCTTCCATTTTTTAAAATTTTCTTTGTTGAAAAATTTTAACTCAACTTTGAATTTTGTGTAGTCAATGAAACCCACATTGATCAAATTTAATTTTTTTATTATAAATTTTTAGCACAGTTTTCTAAAAGAAGGGCTCTGTTATGCCCTCACAAAGTTATTAGAGAACAGAATAAAAAAGACAGCACAGAAATCCATTCATCAGTTCCTGAGATATCGCTGGGACGAGCAGCCACGGCAGTGAAAAAATCCATTCTGAGAAAACAGCACTTGAAACTTGTACACAGATTTTCAGCTTTAGAATGACCCTGCAGAATAGTCAGAAGTGTTCTTGCGCACTTTCTTCTTTTTCCGCCTTTCCAACTTCTCTTGATGTCGTTTGCTTGCCTTGTGCAGACGTAGTGCATCTTTCTCGGCAGCTCGTTGGAGGGCTAGATGGGCGGGCTGAAGTCCCACTGCAACCGATATTTCTGCAGTTGCCTTGTAGCAGCTGGCGTTGAACCTCAACACCGCTTCATACAGTGCAGTTTGCTGGCATAGCTCCAAGTTTGGCTTGAACGGTATCACGATGTCTAGCCTCTGCTTCGATCTCCTCACGTATCAGGAAATACGTCCGCAGATGGGTGCTGGAAGATGCTCTCCCACTTGTCGCGGCAGGCGGAAAACGGGTGCTGGGGCCCGCGATCTCGGGAAGAAACACGACGGTCGGCATGCTCGGTACTCCAGGCGTGAGCGGGGCGATACATTCTTCCTCGACGACAGCCGATGGCACAGAAAATCCATCACTGGAAGTGTTGACGCGATCATCATTGACGGCATGCCGTGCAGAAACTTTCAACTTCGCCATCCGCACTAACTTCATGGACCGCTTCCGCGCGCCAAACGCGCGCACCGTCTTGTACTTCGAACCTCGCATCGTGTGCGACCACGAAACAGACGGGCACGCTACACGAAACTACTCAAAGAAAGTTCGGAAAACGATCGTAAAGATGGTGAAAAACGAAGCGGAGCTGACAAAGCAAGAGCGCGTGCAAGCAGACCACTACCAAAAGCAGACGACGCGAGCGGCAACAGCAGGAGAAACGGAGAAGGAGGAGAGCGCTCCGCGCGCGGAGAAATCGCGTCCCAGCCAATAGCAGTCGCGCGCTCCCCCGCACGCTCCTCTAGGGCGCGCTCTGTCCAATCGCGTTCTTGCGATTGCAACATGGAAGAAAGGCGACCACACCGTAACCACGCGGCCGACGCCATTTTGGGAGCTGGCAAAAAAAAGAGAAAGAATTCACGTTCAAAACAAGACTAAAATGGCGGCTGTCGGCCGAATGCGTCGAAAATGGCGAGCGCGTGAAGTTGGGGTTGATTTTGACGTACGACCGTCGCTTGGATGCTACCCAGGCCTCGTAAATAATTGTTTTTAAATATTTCCCCGTTGTATTGGTGCTGATAATTACAGAGAAGGTAGTTTATGAGATATACAACTGAAAAATAAGGTTTTCTAAAAATCGACTTTTTCGCAATTTTTCGGTTTTCAAAGCCCGCGTCCCCCCCTAAGACAGACATAGGATGCACTGCCGTAGACCTAGTCTTTGGACAGACGCTTTGCCTCTCAGCTGAAATGATTGCCACTCCGCTTATTTCCGCCGTGCCTGATCCTCTCGGCTATGTCACACAGCTTCGAGAAGTGACGCGAAACCTTCGTGCCACACCGATAAGGCACCACGACCGCCACCTGACGTATGTGTGCGACGAGTTAACCTCGGCCACACGTTTTTGTACGTCGAGATGCAGTCAAGAAACTGCTCAACCAACCCTACGACGGGCCCTTCAAGGTGCTGGACAGACGAGAGAAGTTATTTCTGCTAAACTTAAACGGGCGGCAAGACACAATCTCCATCGACCGCCTTAAACCTGCCCACCTTGAGCCAACAGATGTTTCAAGCGTTCAGCCTCTATGTTGGCCCTCCTCTGCCACCACGCTCGGCACCACCTCTAAAACCCGCCCAGCGCCACAAAACGCTCTGTCTTCTGGACAAAACATCTCCCTAGAGACTCCTCTAGGGGTGGGAGTTTCTAGGGAGGTGTTTGTAGCGGACAAGCGATAAGCATAGGGATGTCTGCCATGCCAAGACGCGTGACAGTGATGCAACGCCGCGTGACGCACGCAGCGGCGCGTATCGAACACGAATCACGAGCCCTGCCCGAATGGCGAGACTGGCTGGGATCACGGCGTAGCAGGGTGGATTTTTTGCAGCTCCTTTTTTCTTTGTTAATTGTGGTGAGAAAGATTTGTTTGTTTTCGAAACCTGCTAACATCTTTCTGTTGCCACATCAGGACATCTGGATCCCCCCTCTGAATCAGCCACTACCACACACGCTTGTTTTGCCTCCGAAGAGGACTTTAATGACATTGAACGCAAGAGGGGACTAGATTACTTCTATCTAGATGCTCTTAGGAGAAGAATAGTGCTACATATCTTTCACGAGCCTGCCGTTGTCTTCTATGGCAGCGAGTGCACTTGTGGTTGAAGGGTTTGTTTTCCAGACAGCGTTAGTTCCTAAAGTGGCCGCTATGGAGTGCCACTCCTCGATCTCCTCCCGGAAAGAGAACATAAAGAGTTAATAGGAACAAAGCACCGCTGTTCATATACAAATTTCTTTTCTACACAACGTGGGGAAGGGAAATTTGCCTTGAATTTATTACATAGTAAATCACACTCTGATTAAGAACTTTATATTCTTGATGTAAACCATGCAACACTTGAACAAGAGCAGCTTGCTTTTTTTAGTTAGTGGCTTATGCCACTTGTTGCTGCTCTCCTCAATCTTTTTAACATGTAATATGGTGCAAGTATTTTATGCAAAAATTAGACGTGAAAAAATGACATGCAGCTGCCGTCAGTGTCAGATCCATGTTGCTAGTGGCATAACTCTTAGGTTTTCTAACTTTTCTTTTGTATGTTTGAGCATAACCTAAAATGTTTCCTGTCACCACAGTGCTCTGCTTTTGTCATTGATACATGTCCATGGTATCTTGTGCAGGATTGTTTTCATTGCGTTTTAGCATAGGCTAAAATGTCATTATGTTGTTGCTCCAATTGCAGAACCCCAAGATTATACTGAACGGGACGAGGAGCCTCGCAGCCATCTTGTATCTGTGAAGTCAGGTGAATTGATATCTTTTGTTTGTATCGTATTTACTCGCATAATGAACACACCTTTTTTCCCGAAAAACTGACCCATATTTGGTTCATTACACGGGGTAAAATTTGTGCATTTACACACTTCATGCAAATGTCATATTAGGTGCCAATATGACACGGCAGGGTGCTGTGGCACGTCTCCAGTGATGGAGGCGCACCCACAGCTGGTCGGGGGTCGGCCACAATAGCCATGCTTTATAAATTGCAAACCTTTTTAGGGCGCTTTCGGGGTGCCTTTTGCCAAAGGAAAAGCGACCGACAAAGCTCACTCAGCATGAAAAGCAACACCACCGTTCTTAGGCAATGTATATTACTAGTATCCAGCGGGCATCCTCAGGTATAATCCGTGACTACGCGTATAAGAACTCATACGAAGTACAATCCCCGACCGCCGTAGCCCGCTCGCATGGATCAAGTTTTGTTCACAGAGACAAGAACTCGTACGAAGTCCAATCACAGACCCCCGAAGCCCGCTTGCACGGATCAAGTTTCGTTCACGGAGAGGCTACCAGACACTCCCAGCCTACAGCGCAGCGTGCACCTCGCTGTGCCGTTCTGTTACGAATTAAATAAACACATTTACCCGGAGTATGGGAAATTAGGCCTAACCACTTTCACAATATCACTGTCCGAAAGCGGACCACAGATGACAGCTTGTTTGTTGACAACGATGCATCCGATAGGCGAAGAATGTCCGGGGCTCGACAATTCCTCGACCCAAGCTTCGTAAAGTGTACGCTACACTCGGTTTCATGGGTGAATGGTTGATCACCTCCGTAACCACCACAACTACACACTTGCAGTCATTACATGAGCAGCCTGGCTTGGCTTGACTCGGCTTGACTTGGCCTGACCGCTTGGCCTCAAAAGTAAACTGGCTTGGTGGCTTGCTAGATTGGACGCGATTCGAGGCTCGCAGATCCGGAAATTGGAGGTGCGTTGATTACGGGAGGGGAAAAAAAAGTCAAAATATTGACGCCCGTTGTGGGGGGTGCGTTTATTATGAGAGTGCATTTATTATGTGAGTAAATACGGTAATACATGTTCATGGCACCCCTATCATGGCTGCTCAACTTCTTGGCATAAGCCAAACATCTTAAAGCATCTCAAGTTCAGCAAACTTTTATCATCTCATTTGTTTACTTTTATATATATATATATATATATATCTTTTTACATGCTATTAGTTCAATTTAAGGGCTTTAATAGTGGTAATTACAATCACCCTTTTAAATGCAAGAAAAAATAAAGACAGCGAACAAAGCACGCAGAAAAACGCCGGTACTCATTTTCTGTTCCCTCGTGTAATGCTCGTTTGGGCACTTCATGCACAGTGAATGATGGTGGTGATGAATTGTTTTTATTGCATTTTAGCATAAGCAGGGGTGGTCCAGCTGCGCCTAAAGACACAAATTGCGCCAAACTGCGCCAACAAGAGCTAGTCAGTCTGTGAACGAATCCTTTTTTGGAAGAACGCCGTTTTCGGCTGGCAACCCGGTGGGAGTTTTATTTTCTAGGCTAGGTGGCGCAAGCTGCCGCCCGATATAAAGGGTAGAGCCGTTACCATAGCCATCACAATCCAATTCAGGTTTCCGGCCCAGTGGCATTATTGCGCATTATTGTTTTGTTGCGACCGTTTTGATATGCGGCGTTGTGGCTGTTCATTTCTGCATCGCCACTACTAAGTCCTCTTGAAGATGAGCCAACGTGAGTACTTTTTTTTTCTGCATGCGCGTTTTAAGTTACAGACCCCATAGTAGAAATTTGCTCGGACGCTCGTTCACCGGCAGACCAGCGGCATCAGTACCGAACGTGGTACTCTTTTCGATCGCGTGGTCGTTGTTTGATTTCCTTGTTGCGAATTGTTGCATGTTCCTTTTCATGTCAAATGCCGTAAACGATTGGTCACCCCTTGGTTGTCGCACTGCGTGCGAACTCAGAATAGAGCTTACAAACATGTTTAACAAATCGCTATAGTTTCGTATTCTCGGACGCCTTGAATATATTTATCACGATCACGAAAAACAGGTAGACTTACAATTGTGTAAGTACTATCGGGGAAAAATGAAATGCGAACAGAGGAGCGCGTGGCTCGCGGTACAGGCTGCGCCACCTGGAAGTGAGCCCAGGAGCGAGGGTGCGTGGCCTACTCCAACGTGTTCACGCTCCTCCCTCTGCGCTCCCCGAGCTTCAGCAGTGCGCCTCTTGGTGTGCTGAAAGTTATCACCGCTATCTTTGCTGGCTCAGCGCGTGCGGCGCAAAGAAGCTCGCCGCATTTGCCGAGCAGGCAAAGATAGCGGTGACAGCTTTCAGCGCACTGAGAGGCGCACTGCTGAAGCTTGGGGAGCGCCAATCGAGGGGCGTGAACACATCGGAGTAGGCCACGCACCCTCGCCCCTAGGCTCACTTCCAGGCGGCGCAGTCTGTACCGCGAGCCACGCGCTCCTCTGTTCGCATTTCATTTTTCCCCGATAGTACATATTCACCGTGGTAACTTTAAAGTTTGTAGATCATGGCAAAAAAGTTTTGGCGTATTTTCTTGGTTTGTTTAAAATTGTAATTTTGTCCTTTTTTTCTAGAGCGAAGCACCAAGTTTAAAGACTCAGTACTCTGTGAGGTGGACTCAAATAATGATTTAATTAGTCTCTGGTGCAAAAAGGGGACTCGCAAAACTGATGCATTTTGCGTCCTCTGCAATTCATCAATTTCCTGCGCACAACATGGAGTAGCTTCCATCAAACGTCACGCAGCATTGAAGAAACATGTTGAAGCTGCTGCAAGGCACAGAGATGAAGACGGAAACCTTCAGCCCCCCAAATTGGTGCAAGCCGCATTGGATTTCTCACAAGGTGCTTCTGGCACATCACTCCAAGACCAAGTGTGGAAAGCGGAATTAATTTTCGCTATGTCCGTTGTTTCAAAGTCTATCCCTTTCTCGTGGGGAGACAGTGCTACGGGAATGTATGAGTGTATGTTCCCGGGCAGCGAGGTTGCTAAGAAGTTTAGCTGCAGCAGGTCCAAGTTATCACGCATTGTGTCGGATGGACTCAGCCCTTACTTCAAGTCCAGAGTTGTGAGTGTGCTGTGCCACCCAGGTGTTTTCTTCTCCGTGATGATCGACGAAACCCCAAAGCCAGTGCAAAGAACGCAGCAACTGGATGTGCTTGTTAGGTACTTTTTTAACAGCCAGCAACAGGTTGTCGTTGAGCATGTGCAATCGTACAACCTCGGGCGTGCCACCGCGGAAGTAATTGTGGGCTGCGTAGAAGACGCGCTGACTGAGCTACCGAAGAGAGGGCTTGTTTGTTTTTTCAGTGACGGGCCTAACGTCACGAAAAGCGTGAGGAACAAGCTCCAAAAGGATATGCCATCAAGTTTGGTTGACATCAACAACTGCAACCTTCACAAAGTCCACAATGCTTTTGCAAAAGGTCTCGATGCGTTTGGCTCGGATGTTGAGGAGGTCGTCTGAAACGTCTACTACTACTTCAAAAGCGCTGTTCGTGCTGAAGCCCTCGGAGAATGTCAGGAGGCTCTAGGGATTGCTTCTCATGTGTTTCTGCGTCATGTCTCCAATTGCTGGCTCACACTTCAAGATTCACTGTGTCGTGTCCTAGAACAATTCGAAGCGCTGAAGTCATACTTTCACAAGGCAAGCATGACAAAGCAGCGAGTGGACACTCAGAATCTTCACAGCAAGCTTGCTGCAGCATTTTCAAAGAAAGACCTTTATGCCAAGGTGTTGTTCTTGAAGAACTGTGCCGAGCTTTTTTCTCGGTTTCAGACACTGTTTTAGAAGCAAGAGCCCCTGCTACACATACTCCACGCGGAATTGCTGTCTCTAGTCCAGCGAATCCTCAGCCGTTGTTTGAGGAGTGCAGCCTATGTGGACAAGAGTGCGGAGGAACTGAAGAAACTCGATGTGCAGGACTCTACCCTGTGGAAAACCAAACCAGAAGTGGGTATGTACACTGAGCAGGTAATGCTGAAATGGGATCCAGGTGAAAAGAAGCGGTTACTTCTTGGGGCCCGTGCCTTCTACTTGGCTTGCTCGAAAGACCTCCTGCAGAAGCTGCCTCTTGACAATAAAGTCCTTCAGCACACAAGTCTCTTGGGATTGCAGCCCAGCGACGTGGAGTCAGAAGTCCGATCCTTGCGATACCTTGCTTCCCAGCTGCCTCAAGTGCTTGAGAGCGACCACGTGTCATCACTGGTCGATGAGTGGCATCTGCTGAGATGTGACTCTGCTAACAGCCTTCAGTTGATGGAAGATGGACGGATCGACACTCGTTGGGCTACCGTATTTCAACAAAAGTGCGCAGCTGGTCAGCAGAAGTACCCACTGTTGTCAAGGCTAGTAAAAGCGCTGCTCTCTCTACCTCATGGTAACGCGGACTGTGAGCGAGGCTTCAGTGAGAATAAGCATCTCCTTGAAGGCCGAGCCTCATTGTGCATTGCGAGCATCAACGGATTGCGGCAAGTGAAGACCTACCTGCAGAGGTATGATGGAGATGCCACAAAGGTGCCCCTGTCGCCAGACCTTCTGCGAAGCGTCAAAAGAGCAAGAGCCCGGTATGAGGAAAGAATTGGAAGCAGAGAGGCCGACATGAAGAGAAAAAAGCCTGACAGCGCACAAGTTGATGCTGAAAACTCGCATGACAAGCGCTTAAAGAAGCAGTTGGAGGAAAGGGTGATCTCGTGCCGTGCGTTGCTGAAGAGGGCGCAAGAGACCATTGGTGCAGGACTGAAGTGCCAAAGCTTGGAAAAAGTAGAAGGTGGCCAAACTATGTTAGCTGAAGCCAATGCTACTTTGTCACGCACTCTTTGCGAGCTGGACGAACTGAAAAAGAAATGCAAAAAGCATTGAGTCAATATTTTTTTTTTCACCTGTGATATATAGCGTACAGTCAAAAGGCAAGAAGTATTAAGCAATTGATATTTCAGTTTTCATCTGTGATATTATGTTACATAGTTAAGCTTTAGCTGCAAGAATGTTCTGTCATAAATAAAATGGTTTTCTTATGGTGAGTTCTTTTCTTTGTAAATTACTATATGAAATTCAGATGTTCGTGACACACACAGACATATATATATATATATGGGGGGTGAGGTAAGATTGACAAGGGCAGCCGTAATATATATATATAATAATAAAGACATGGCACAGAACTGCTCTATGTTCATGCTGCTCCAAAATGTTTAGTTTTCCTGATACCAAGGTGCTCCAAAACGAGCTTTTCCCTGCTCCAAAAGGGGAGTTTATGTGATACGAATTGCTCCAAAATTGGGTTTTTCTTGCTCCAAAAATTGCTCCAAAACCTAAAATGGCTGGACCACTACTGCATAAGGTAAAATGCTACTATGGCGTCCCAACGTTACGAGAACCCCAATATTATGTTGAGTGGGACGAGGAGTTTGGCAGTCATCTTGTATCTGTGAAGCCAGGTCTGTTCTACATTGGAGCTGTTAAGGGCTAGGTTCCCCAGGATCGTATCCGGTACCAAACAAATGTCGACACAAAACTCTGGACAGCTACCGCCATCTATGAGCGACGGCGGCAACCAGACACCCAGTTTGCCGTCCTCGCTCATAGATGGCGGCAACCTTTCCAGCCTTTCCCCTCTGGTTTTCACCAGATTGGAAAGGCTGAATTTCTCTGGGCGTCGTCCTAGATGTCCTCCTCGAGGTCGTTCTAGAAGTCATCCTTGAGGTCGCCGTAGAAGTCGTCCTTGAGGTCGTCCTAGGCGTTGTCCTCTAGGTCCTCCTGGAAGTTGTCCTTGAGGTCGTCCCTGAAGTCGTCCTAGATGTCCCTGAGGTCGTCCTCGAGGTCAACCTAAAAGTCGTCCTTGAGGTCGTCCTAGACATCCTCGAGGCGTCGTCCTTGAGGTCGTCCAGGAAGTTGTCCTTGAGGTCTTCCCACCATAGTACAGCTTCTCTGGTCTTCCTTTTTCACCAGAGTGGAAAGGCTGAAAGTTATTTAATTTATGTCTGTCTTAAAGCTTTGCACCTCGCAATGCATTGACATTATCAAAACTAATCTCACTCTCTTTTATACTCGCAGAGCCGGATTACCATGAGGAATACCGGGAACCTATGAGCCCAGTGCTGCCTCTTACAAAAGGTACGTTGTTGACCACATTTTTTTTTGTAGCTTTAAGAAGGGTGATTGGTGACCAAGCAAATTCTTGCGCTGCACCTCGGAGCACAAAGCAAAAGCTTGTGCTGCAGAAGTCGCAGGCTCTGGCTTCAATTACCACTTCTGCCCATTTTACTAATTCATTCATTCATTTATTCGCGACTCTAGCAAAACGGACGCCACCAAGCGGGAAAACTGGGAACCAGCCAGAACAGGTCGCTTGGTGCCCCTCCGCGTCTCTAGTGGCTTTCGCGGACACGTGTTGTCGGCCCGGTGGCGGACATTGTAATTTGACGATCGAAGGTCCGGAAACTTCCCAAGTTTCTTTGAGTGTTTGTTAGTGTGGTGAAGTCTCAGTAGATTGTTTCCTTCCATCACGTGTTTGAAAGCTCGTTTACTCCACAACACACGGTTGCATGCTTTCAATTTCTTGGATGGGGAGGAATCGCGGAAAAACGTTTTGATTTCTAGTCTGTCTGGAATCACATTCAAAGTGACGACTACTTGGTAACTGATAAGTGGTTTCTTTATAAGGATGTAGAACAGTGAACTGAGGACGGCAGACGAGGCATTTCACCGGAGGGAAAACCAATGTTGCAGTCAAGTGAATGGAAAGGTTCGATAGCTGCTTTTTTTTAGTTTGGTTGTGTTCGATTAGCTTCAAGATTGAGCCATCCACGCCGGTCGGTGCGTTCTTTTCGCTGAAAAAGCCTCTGGACCACACCGAAGGAGTGGGGCTGATTTTGCAATTACTTGATTCCATAAAACCTGCTCACTGCATACGATTAATGAGGAAAATTGTCTGCTTTCAAAAGGTGGGGGATGCGTCTCGCAAAGTTAGACGCTGTCATGGCATTATGATCTATCGCGCCTCCAATATTTATATTACCGTATTTACTCGCAGAATGAACACACTTTTTTTTCCGAGAAATCGATGCAAAGCTGGGGGGAGCGTTCATTACGCGAAGTAAAATTTTTGCATCCGTATTTACTCGCATATGAACGGACCTTTTATCCTGAAAAATCGAAGTAACTTCTTATCTCTTTGCGCGCGGCGCCGGACCCCGTAACCAAACTAAGCTGTGCAAAAAAAAAAACTTTTTTTTTTTTTTCCGCCTTTTGCAAGCTGTTTTGTTTGCTTAGGCGTTGCTTAGGCAAGGGCTCTCCGCTTAGCTTTCTTATCTCCTTGCGCGCGACGCACGACCTCCCGCACGACCTCCCGTAACCAAACTGCGCTGTGCAAAAACAGAAAAAGCTTCTCTTTGTTTTTGTTTTCTCTTTGTTTCATGTTTTTTTTTTTTTTCTTGTCGTTTTTTGCAAGCTGTTTCCTTGCTTAGAGCGCTTCTCCGCTTCTCTTTCTTACCTCCTTGCGCGCGGCGGCGCGCAAACCCAAAGTCCAGACTGCGCCGTGCAAAAATAAAAAAAAGCTCCTCTCGATGTTTTTTTTTCTTGCTTCCGTTGGATCTTTGCGAATTTTTTAACGCCTTTTGCAAGTCGTTTTGTTCTCCCACGCTGCCCATGCATTCGCGACCTCGCTGCACCAGGATAGAAAAGTGCGTTCATTTCGCGCGCGTGGGGGGAGGGGGTCAAAATTTTGACATCCGGGTTGGGGGTGCGTTTATTACGCGAGTGAAAAAAAAAGTCGAAATTTTGAGAGCCGACTTGGGGGGTGCGTTCATTACGCGAGTGCGTTCATTGTGCGAGTGAATACGGTATACCCTCGTTGAATTCGCCAGCAGCAATATACGTCTACATTGCTCAGGTTGACCGACCAGAAAAAAATACTAATTTTCTCCATTCAAAGTTCGAAGTCAAGTTCAATGCAGAGAGGTTCTGCGTGAATCTCCGATGAAGACTCTCTTCAGTTTGTCTCCGTGCTGCCGGCTAGAATCATTTGGCTGAGTTTAAGTAGTATCCCCAGTCAAAAATTCTCATTAGATTCCAATTGGAATTTCCAATTGGTACCATTTAGGTTTTCGGACAACCAATTGGTCACTGTAATGGGAACCCATGGGAACCAATGGGAACCATTTGAAACCCATTAGGTTCCAACTGGAAAATTTTTTCCAACTGGTGAGACCCATTGGCCAGTGCGCTTCCAATTGGAACCCACTAAGACCGATTGGTTCCGATTAAAACCTGTTAGAATTCCAATTGGATCTAATGATAATTTTTAGCTGGGTCTCTCTGTCTGTCAAATATACTTTCACTCAGCAGTACACTTAATAGCTAGTCAATTAAGCTCATATTTCAATTCGAAAAATATACTATATCGCTTTAGTGGGGCATAGTACGTAATATATTTACTTATTTATTTATTTATTTCCTACAGCGCCCTGAAGGGCATTACAGTAAGGGGAGTCACAACACCAAAAAATGGATTTTTAACACATCATAGGTTATCAAGGCACATAAGTACGCAAAGTAATATACAAAACTCGCACACGCATATAAGCATACATAGAAAAGAAACAACCTTAGTTTGCATGGAAAGAAACACAAATGTGTTAATAATATATTTACACTCAAATATATTGTTCAGAGACAGTGCTGGGGTTGCGGAAAAAATGAATCTGGTCTTTGCAAGGGAACAATCTCGCTTGTCAACTGTTCCATTCTTTTATCGTTCGTGGGAACAAAGAGTTACGAAACAAATCAGACTTTGACATGTGCTCCCGAACTTTTTGGTCATGATCTACTCTGCGTGATACATAAAATGGCTCAAACAGGTAATGAGATCTTTCAATTTCAGATAAACCTTAGAAAATACTGTGAAAAAATTTAGGCGCAAATACTTACGCCTAAGAGCAAACGATTTCCATTGTAAATCCTTTTTTGTTGCAGAGACACTGTTACGAAAGTTGTAATTATTTGTCACAAATCTAGTGGCACGGTTTTGAATTCTTTCAATTTTATCAATGAGATACTGTTGAGATGGATCCCATACAACGCAAGCATACTCGAGAATGGGCTTCACACAAGAGAAAAAGAGAGTCTGTTTGAGGGATGGTGAAGCGTACGAGAAGTTTCTCCTTAGAAAACCCAGCATTCTTCTAGCTTTCCCTGTTACGTAGTTCACAAGTGAAAGCCATCTCCAATCATCAGAAAAAAGTACCCCCAGATATTTAGCTTCTTTTTTAACCCTTTCATGGTCACATTTTTTCTCCAAAGACGCGCCCCCGGGGTCGGTTTTTTTTACTTGTCGCATAAAAAAATTTAAGGCTTAAAATTAATAGTACACACACTTCAAAAAATCTGCGGCACATTCGCTGAAGGCTGAACAAAACAAAAAGGACTAAAACTTTCACGCGACCTGCCCTCTTCAGAGACGGTCTAGCAGACGGTGGGGCTGTGTGTCAGACTCTGGACTCTGAACCCAGCTGGTTTCCAGTTGTTCCTCGGAGGTCGAGCTGTCATCCGACTCACGAGTCCGAGAAGGGTTCAAAGTCTGAACCCGAAAAGCCATTGCTTCAATCTCCACTATGCTACCCCCCGGAGCAGCCAGCACGCGCGGCCATCTCGAAGGTATCACTTGCTCAGAGTATCCAGTTTCGCAATTTTAAAAAGCCGCGCCAAAATATACATTACCGGAGTAATATGGCCGTAGTTTTCTACAAACCTACCAGATGGCAGCACGTCCCCGCGAACGCGCCCGTTCAAGCAGAGGCGCGAATTTTTGAATGAGCAGTCGCGGACGTACCGGTACGTCAGCAACCATGCGGGACGCTCCCGCGCTGACGTACAGGTATGGCAGTGACCATGAAAGGGTTAATGAGTAAAGTTTCTTCGTGTAAAACGTACGTTGACTGGAGAACGTTGCGTTTTCTTGCGAACCTTACATGACAGCACTTTGACATTACCGGAGTAATATGGCCGTAGTTTTCTACAAACCTACCAGATGGCAGCACGTCCCCGCGAACGCGCCCGTTCAAGCAGAGGCGCGAATTTTTGAATGAGCAGTCGCGGACGTACCGGTACGTCAGCAACCATGCGGGACGCTCCCGCGCTGACGTACAGGTATGGCAGTGACCATGAAAGGGTTAATGAGTAAAGTTTCTTCGTGTAAAACGTACGTTGACTGGAGAACGTTGCGTTTTCTTGCGAACCTTACATGACAGCACTTTGAGATACTCAAAGTCATTTTCGATTGTGAACAAATTCTCTCTAAATTGCCTTGAAGAGCCAATACATCAGAGTCTGAAATAATTTCACGGTACAAAATGCAGTCGTCAGCGTACAGTCTTATTTGCGAGGCAATTCTCTGGGCTATGTCATTTACAAAAATTAAAAAGGGGAGTGGCCCAAGCGTGGAGACCTGTGGTACTCCAGAAGTTACATCAACTGGTAGAGACTTTACCTCATTTACAACTGCACATTGTTAAAGGACACATGCAAAGGAAAAAAACATTTTTTTTAGACACCTTAGATGGAAAAAGGATGTCATAAAACGATTTTACAACGAAGAAAAATAAATTTTGGAGCTATATTTACGGCGCTATACGAATTTGTAGTTGGCGCTCGCGGGAGCCGCCGCTGGTCATGTGGTAGGCCCGCGCGCCGCCGCGCTGCGTCGCCGCCGCACGCTGAGCGTTGTGCGAACGCCGCTTCAACGTGTTTCTCCACGCCGCCGTCGCCGCCGCCGCACAAGTTCGTCTGCTTCGGGGCGCCGCCGCCGTCGTCTGGCCGGCGCACAGGTCTATCACGTCTGCTTGCGCTTTTTCAGGAGTTTCCTTTGGGCTCTAAAAGTTACTTATTCATCTTAGTTTTTTGTTATACTTCAAACAAAGATGAATAAGTTACTTTTAGAGGCCATAGGAAGCTTCCGAAAGAACGCAAGCACCACGTGATAAATAAAGACCAGTCACATGATAAATACGGACCACTTTTCCGCGGTGCCCGCGGGCGCCAACTACAAATTCGTTTCGCGCGCTTTAAATATAGCTCTAAAAATTTTTTTCCTTCGTTGTAAAATCGTTTTACGGCGT